TGCTTCGTGTGTTGCCGGGGGGGGGCCAGACCCTGCTGCCCCGTCTGCAGGTGGGCTTCCTACAAAACCAAGCAGCCATACACACACCCGCCGCCTTTGGCGAGCGACACCCCATCTTAGCTGTGTGTGCCCGTGTCCTTTGTAAGCTTCCCGGGTATTCCTGCTTGCCTTTTAAATGTTAGTCACTTCAAAGATTCCGTGGTTTGAAGTTTTTTAGTTGCCATGTTAGTGCAGTGAGCTAAGATGTAGCTGATGCTAACGTTAACGACAGAATCATTTGGTTGCCTTGTCTGTTGAACTGAATGCATCCTTAGAGTACAGTAACTTCTTTCTTTGCAACATCTGGAAACTTGATGCTGGTTTTGGAAGCACAAAAAAAAAACACATCAAGCCTATGACAGAAGCATATTCCAGCAAACGTTTACAAGTGAGGTGACATGGAAATCCTAATCGGAGACAACTGCTTAATTTAAGTGTTTCTTATTTTAGAGTCTGTTCAGCACATCTTTGTTGAATAATGTATGTTGTAAACCCAGTACCATTGACGAAGAAATCAGCAAAATAAATTATTTTAAAAGGAGATTTGTAATGTTAATTGTTTTGATAACTATTCTGTGTACGGTTACACATGTCTTGCTGGCCTTATCTGTGAAGCCAATAAAAATATAACACAGCTTTTGTGACTAATAAATCATCTCCTAGTGCTGCAGGAATTCGTTGCTCCAGCGTTAGCCACTGGGCAAACAGAAGGTGTTTCACTAGGAACTACTTCCTTCATAAGTCCTCTCATGCGCTGAGGGGCTTCTCTGCTTGACCAGGGCTTTTCCAGCTGATGATCACAAACTGCTTTAGCAGAGGAGACCCTCTTCTAGTGGCCCAGCACCCTCATCTGGAGGCATCTAGGAAGAGTTTAGGGTTACCTCTCTACAGCCTTAAAGGAAACCATCACGAAGTAGCAGAGTACTGTCATGCAGTGACAGCAGTGTAAGAATTGCCAGATTCCAGCTGCTGGCATTCTGAAGTGATTGCTGGTTTCTTGGAGAAAAGGACTAGTTATTTGATGCCATAAAAAATAGGTTGAGTCTAATATTTTCTTTATATTTCAATATGAAAGCGTGGTGTTGGTTGTAGCTTTCAGAAATCATCTAGCTGAAAATCCAGAGAGGAAGTGTTGATTGGAAAGAGAAAAAGAAAGAAAGGGCAAAGATGATGTAAGCAGAAGAAAAGGCTAACCTAGAAAGGTGTTTTCAGTTGTCTCCTTGTTCTGTTTCTTTCTCAGCTCTTGTCCGTGTGGTATGCAAGGAAGATAATTAAATGAAGATGCTAATAGGAAATGGAAAGGGGGGTTTACCTTTGCAGTTCTGATCCATCTCTCTGTGCCTGTACAGAGCTGGTGCTTGCAGAGCTGCTGGGCAGTTTGGTCTCTCCAGGCTACCTGGGCACTATCTTTTTTAACAACAAATACTCCTTGCCTCCAGGTGTGTTCCCAAGAGAATATTCCTGTAATTACCAGCAGAGCTGTTTGTGAGTGCTTTTCCCTCTCCTTTCCTTTTCCCTATTGCAGTACTGCAGCAGGGAGGTGGAAGAGGCAGAATATCACCAACTCTCCCGTGGCCCAGAAAGTCATTTTTATTCCAGTTGAGGCCTGTCAGTACATGCCCTTTCTCTGTCATTACAGCCGTGGCAGAGCACTGGAGAGGCATAATGAGGGCAAAGATCATTTCTGCTTCCAGTTCGTGTGGCAGCATGGCACTTGGCCTATGTGCTTATCGTAAGTAGCAGGGGTTGAAATCCACATAGTTGAAGGGCTGTCTTGAAACCCGCGCTGAGCTGAGGTCTTGAACTCTCCTCCTCCAGAGGGGAGACGGAGGAGAGCTTTAGTGAGTATAAATCGAGCTGTAGTTGATGAAGTCAGGGCACTGCGTGCTTGTGGAGCGTGCTGAGCTGCACCTCTTCACACAGAGCCTGAGCAGCTCCACTCCCTGCATGGGTTCAGCCTCATTTGCAAACCACTGTGCACCCCTGTTTCAGCTGAAGACTTGTTTTAATGACCTCAGTTACTCTGCTAGTCCAATTCCTTTGATGAATGGCACAAACTGCTGTTTAATTAGCAGGAGAGCCGCAGAGGGGACATCCATATGAGCAGGTGATTATGACCAGCACAAAGCTGTGACTGAAGGCTCGGTCCCCTCGTGTCCATTAGTCGGGGTTATATAAATTGCTGTGATCCAGTTCCTGGCGATGCATCTGTTTCAAACTCTACAGCAGCTGCTGGAGTGCCTTGGTAGTCCCAGCGGGAAGGAAAAAGCAGTTGGATGTATTTACTTTATGGAACACTCGTGTCAGTAGCCGCAGAAGGATCCAAGTAGGATCGTTTTCTACGGAGTGCAGGATCTCAGACACCCCTCACCCAACGCGTTGACAGTTTACAACCTGGAGAACAGAGCAAAGACTGTTCCTCTAACAAGGTCAGCAGCTTGTTTTGCCTCGATGGGCTGGGTTGTGCTAGTGTTTGTGAAGTGTCTTACCCGAGAAGCTAAACACTTCAAGTCACGTCTTATTCTCTGACATCTTGTGCCTGCAAGCTGGTGACCAGCTGTAAACAGCAAACGTCAAACAACTGATGTCAGGTTACTTATTTCAGCAGGTTTAGTGAGGGCCATGGGTGTCTCGTGCTGTTATTAAGAGAGGGGGGATTTAGATCATCTCCGAAGGTGTTTGCCACTCTCAATTTCAGCAATTACTGTTTTGTTACACTGGCTTTCTCACTGCTGCTTCCCAGTCCAAAGCGAGAGCTCTCCTTCCCAAAGCCTATTTAGATCTGTCTTCATATTAGCTTTTGGAAGGAAAAAAGGCAAAGTTCAACTGTACATTTTTATAGCTGTTAAAACGTCTTTCTCTGGGAATTAAATAACAAGGATAAGTATAATTATAAGACATCAGAGTTAGACTAAGCTAACAGCACCTTTTTTCCCCTAAGCTTCGGCACTCTTCCTGTGCACCAGTGATTTATTTCCCTGCATCTCAGCTTGTGCAGGGGCGTGAGGAGGCGCCGTGCCCCGCTGGAGCTCCCCCCGCAGCACCCAGCCGGGTGGCTCCAACCTGTCCCTTAGTTTCCGCCAGGTTACCCGCCCCTTGCTGCAGAGAGGACGGCGGAGGGTGGAGATGAGCCAGGCCCGGCTGCTGGAGCCTCTCAAACAGCCCTGGCAGCGGAAGAGGGGCAGGAAACGTCCCTGTGTGTGCCCGCAGGAGGTGTTTCTCCTCCGGTGTTCCGCCGGTCGGCCCTGGGCTGGCAAGAACAAAGTGTAGTTTGAGTCACCCCGTGCGAGACCCGGTTTTATAGACGCGGTGCTTCGCTGCGGCCCGTGAGGGGGTGAGGGCGGGTGGTGATGGACCCTGCTCGGACATCGGCCCCTGTTGCTCTGCGCTGCAGTGGCTCCCCTG